GTATGCTGACAAATAGATAGCAATACGTAACCGAACGAAGCATACCAGCCGTTAAAAGAATATTTATCAATTCTTTGTAACGGACGTTTTTTTTATCAACTTATCTCACTATTCAAATACGTAATACGTATACAAAATTACAAAATACAAATATCAACTTTAAACACTTTAAACGACATAACATTTACGACTACAGTCTACGATCATCGACTTGCAACTGCTGTAATTCGAACTTACTGCTACAGTAATGCAGTAATACATTACTTGTCGACGTATAGAAGTTGAAAACCTTTGTATTTAGTTGGACGTACGACAAACATTCAATTTTCGAGCTCCGAGTTCTTACGAAATACAAATTTTTGTATTTCGGAATTCGGAGTTCATTCGGCGAGCATAAGAGTTACATTAACCTAATCTGGCTTAATTCAGTCATTATTATTATTTAGCTATACATAACTAACATTATGTCGTGTCAAATTACATATTCTCGTCAAGTATTGCAACGAGTTAGTGACCGTAAAAAAAGGAAACTAGCCATTGACGATTCAGATAAAATATCAAATCGTAATTTAGATTTATTCGTAGATTCTCAGTTAAAAGTGATCGAAGATTCTCAAACATCATTGAAAGAGCATAGAGATTTGTTTGGTGAACTTATACCACAAGATGAGTTGGCTAGCAATGCAGAAACTAAAAACAAATCAACCAAAAAAACACCAGTATCAAAGAAAAAGAAACAACCAGGTGAAAAAATTACAATTGATAGTCCAGTAATTAGACCAAAACGGGTATTTATTCCTACTCCAAAATTCATGAAGTTAATGGAGGAGGCGCAAACAGAATTATACTCTTTAATGGGCATTAACAAAAGTTCAAGTGACGTTTCAGTTGTAACAACTGATAGTCTTGATGTCAGTGGAATACAAGATTTACAAGATAGCCCTATAAAAAGTATAAGGAATGAGTCTAAAACAAATTTAAAGAATAATGATAATGACAAGGAATCCCGACAAGTTCTCAAAGGTAAATTTTCATTAATATGTACCTATTAATATATAATATACTATAAAAAAATCATGTTATAAGAATTTTTATAGACTTTGTTTAAAATATGGTTAATTTAATTACATTTGCCAGTTTAATATATAATTTACTTTGGTAACAGTTCATAGATCATGTAAACTTTTTCAATTTCTATCAATTATAAACATTTTTATAATTCTGAGCAAAGTAAGAAATGTATTAACTTAGTTTTATGTTGATATTTCTTCCTTTATGTCTATGATCAACTTTTTTGGGTAATATATTATTCTATCCAATAAATTACATGTACCTAGACTATGCTTCAAATAATTATTCATTTTCTCATGTTTTTATATAATGTGTATGAAAAAATCACAACAAAATATACTCCAATTTCCAATGTATAGGTTTTTTTCTTAAAAAGTGCTAGAAATTTGAAAGTTTTACCAATTATTTATGAATTACAATATGAAAATAGGATTACTTAAAAAAAAATGTTATTGTTTTTGGAGATTATATAAGTTTTGAAAAATGTTCCTGTTATTTTTATATTTAAATATTAAATTTTTCATATATTATTTTATACCTCTAGAGGTTATACAAAAAATTGTAACTATATTTTTAATACCCTGTGATTTAGGAGTTGTTGCATTTGTTGATTACAAGATTGACAAAGATCGAAGTGATTCAAGTATTACTCAATGTCTCATTGATTTAGGTGCCAAAGTAGAAAAAACATTCAATCAAAAAGTAATTACATGATCAGTATAATATTATTATCCTTAAATAATTTTTTAATATGTTTTATTTCTAGGTTACCCATGTGATGTTTTGTGATGGCTTACGTAGTACCTATAATAAAGCAATCAAACGTAATATCCCACTAGTATCAGCAAGGTGGATGGAATACAGTAAATTAGCTAATAAGATGTTGGATCCACTTGACTACCCTCCCGTTGATATGGAAAAATATACAAAAACACCAACAACAAATATTAATATTCCAGTAAGTAAATTTCAATGTTTTATATATGTATTTAATTTTATATTACACTTCAATACTCTTTACTGTCTATGTTTAGATTTAATTTTGTTTTTGTATATTATTTTAGGTAAGCAAAACATATAAAAAATTTTTAAGACCAAGTAATATTGAACGTGACCAGATATTTAAATCTAATTGTGATAATCTTATGGAAAGATTTAACAACTTCAATATGAATCTGAATAATGAAAATAAAGAAAACAGTCCTATCATTGAAACCGAAGAGAATGGCCCTATCATTGAGACCGAAAAGAACAGTCTTATCATTGAAACCGAAGAGAATGGTCCTATCATTGAAACCCCCAAAAAATCTACTGTTAACAAATTAGTAAGTTTATAAATCTCAACATAACAACCTAAACTTTATTGTATTCATTAGTAAAACTAGAAATTTACCAAGCACTCTGGAGTTTAAAATCAGTATTTTTAAGTAGTGAAATCGCCAAGTTCATGTGTTTTTAAGTTTCTAATATATTTTAAAATATTTTTAGAGATTTATTCTTAAATCTTTAAAAAAAAAAAAAAAAAACTATTAACATTTATACTTTGTTTTTAATATTATAAATTTTATCATTTTTCTTGAAGTACCAAGTAAAACCTTAATCAACTTAAACTATGTATATTATTTAAAAAAACAACTGTTATATTAGTTTTTTATTTTTAGGTTGATCCTTACAAAACAAATGATGTTGTCAATATATTATCTGATCAGTTATGTAAAGTATTAAACAAAATCGATAGTCCAGTACCAGATGACCAAATTGAAGACCTATATATTCCAATGTCAATTAAAGTATTAAGAAAATATCTCACACCCAATGGGAAGGAAAATACAACTTATACAGAATTAGATAGTGAACTAGCTAAAATTGAAGAACGGCTAAATTTAAATTTTCAAGCTAGACAACGTTTTCGTAAGCTATTATTTCCTTCAGATAAGAATTTGTATAACACGAGCACTGTCAGTGATTTCCCATCACCGTCACCTGAAAAATTGAGAATCAGTGCTCCTTCAAGGTTAATTAGTACAAGGAAACGAAAAACAATGCTTGGTGATAAATCGTTATCTAATACCAAAAACATAAATAGTAATAAAAAAACACCAACACAAAATAATGTTAAAATGAATTCCTTAAAATGGCAAATACCTTCAGATCTACGTCCAAAAAAAACAAAAAAAATCTGTGTTCAAAAAGGAAAAAGCATTAAAACAACTCAAACCAAAGACACTGTTTCTAGTATGATGTCCAGAAATTCTTCTACAATATTTCAAACACCAAAAACCTCTTTAGCTAGCCCTGTAATATCACAGTCAATTGCATGTAGTGGGATGACAAAAAGGTAAAAAAATTATATTTATTTATATAAAACATATTATTTTATAACATTTTTTGTTTAAGCAGAGAAACAAATGTTTTAAAATCATCTATACAAGACTTAGGAACATTCCTTTTTCATAATAAGGTGGAACCTTCGACTAATTTTTTAATTACCAAACCACGACCAAATCGAACATTAAATATTGTATTTGCAATGGCTTATGGATGTTTCATTGTTTCTGAAAATTGGGTAAGACATTTCATAAAAACAATTTTATTAACTTATTAATTATTTGACAGTTCACTTTTATTGTTTTTGTTCAAAAAATTTATGACAAATTTGTTGTATAAAATATAACTGAAAAAACTTAATATTGTTTAATTATCAAGGTACATGAATCACACAAAATTGGTAGATGGCTATCGCATGAACAATATTTAATCTCAGATTTGTCTGAACGTGTTAAAGTAAAAATCCTAGTTTCACTTTCTTTTATTTATTTATTTTAAATATATATTTGTAAATGTCTTTTTTATTTTATTTTAAAGGAATTTCAAATACGACGTCATACATTTGGATCATTATTAACATTTCATATATTTGATAATGCTGGCAGAATATACATATCAGATACCTGTGATCCGCCTTCTAAAGTTTTAAGACGACTGGTACGTGCATGCGGTGGCCATTGTACAAGTACTGTGACTAAAGCCGATGTAGTGGTTGGTTTTACACCTCAAATAAATAATAATATTCATGAAAAATGGATTTTGGATTGCATAACCCAAGGGATATTGCTTAATAAAAATCAGTATACTATGATAGTTAATACTAGTGATATTATGATCTAAAATAATTTTCACATGTGTTGATTTTTATGTATAATTTTAATTTTGCTTAACTAATTGTTTTGTTATTTTAAAAAAACTAGTCTTTATTTCTTATTTCTTTGAACATTATTACTATTCCACATTAAAATGTTTGAATATCTTCTTTTTATAAATAATTTTAGTAAAGTTAATATCTTGAAGTTTATCTATTTTCTATCTTATTTATTTTTCTTTTAAATAATTTCAATTATTTAGTTTAGTTTTAAAATCTTTTTTAAAGCAATTTTTCTTACTACTAACTGAATTCTATATTAGTTATTACATAAAAAAATAATGTGAAACATTAAATTTGGTTTTACTGTTTTAGATTAATATTTTAAATTTTATTATAGACGAGCTATTTTCCATAGCTTCACTCAAATATCATTAGTTTTATTATGATAAGTGGTAATGAGTAAAGAAGCTAAGTATGTTTTATTAATTGTTTCGAAAAGCAATAATATCAAGTTTCAAGTTAATTTTTCTATATAAACACTAATAACAAAAATACCACTCATTCAACTGTTGTATTTTAACTATATGATTGGAATTCAATTAAAATAGAGTACAATAAACATAAGTAACTATATACTCATGTTATCTTACAAACTATAACAATTATAGAAAATAAAAATTGTATAGTATATTATACTATAATATAAAATGTTATGATTTTGTGCTGGGTGAAGTGGGATATATAATTTTATAATCTAATATCGAATATAAGTTAATGCATTTGACATTATTAAAAAAGATTCTGGTGGAGGAATCTAACTATGCCACTGGTTTGACTACTGAAATAAACTGATTGTATAGTTTAATAAAATGTTAGTGTTAAGTTTGTGTTATATTGTAAAAAGTGTTTTTTATTTAAATTATAGTTATTTTATTTTATTTTTTTTTTTTTAACATAATGTATTATCAATTATATTTATATATTTATTTTATTGTATATTTTATAATTTGTGTAACTAATAAATGTATATTTTCATAACCTTTATGCTTTTAAGTTCTGTCTAAATAAGTCCTAACTAAAATAGTATTCATATACATATTATTTTAAATTTAAACACCAGACTTGAATACTTTTTAAATAAAAATGTCCTATTATTAATTACATTTTTCTTTTTTATTACATTTATTTTAAAATATTGCCATTTATAATCAAAGTTCCTCCTAGTTATTAATTTACCAATTAAATCATTAAAATCTTTAAAATTTAAAAAAATTATTTTATTAGAAATTCATAAAATATTTATTTTTTTTTATCTAAGATTTGAAAATACAATATCATTAATTTTTCTACCTTTAAAAAAAAGTTTTTCAAAAAGTTACATACATTTTTTATAGCCATTTAAACTTAACCTAACCATTTTTATGACATTGAATATTCATTGTATATATAACTATTTCTCTTAAAATTTAAAAAACATGTCTTTGTAAAATTAATATATTCATTATTCCACTAAAATCTGAAATACATAAGTGCAATTTTTAAGTTCAAATTCTTACAAAATCAGAAAATTTTTCTAATAAAAAAATGTATTACAATTTTCTTTAAAATAATTTTATACTGAAATAAAATATTTAAACAATATAAAAATATCACGATTATTTTTTATAAATATTTGGAGTATAAATTTGATCAAAATTGGATACTTTATTGATGAACAAAATATTATTTTAAAATTAAAAAATATTGTTCAAGTGGCTTTATAATATGTATCTGTATGTATATATTGAATTTTATAATGATATTTCCAAAATCTTTAGGATAATTTTAAGATATTATCTTTTTATACTATGAATCTGTTCATGCTTTTTTATGGTGAGGTATTATTAACTTTTGAATTAATAACAATAATATAATATGGCATAAATATATAATAAAGTAAAACTTCTATATCTATCTGTTATAAGAACTATTGGTAACAAGTACTTCATTCATTTTTAACAGATTTCCATTTAATAATCTAGTAATCTTGGTTCTCAAAAAAGAAATCATTTTACATTATCTGTTGAGTTAAGAAAAAACTCCATCAAATTTTATTGGTGATGATAAGTATATACCTATTGTAGGAACATATTGTGGATTTGCTTATTATAGAACTAAGACAAACCTGACAAACCAAAAATGGTCAAATTTAATTTGCCAAAATTGCAATAAAGCCTTATGTAAGGAGTATCTTGGCCCTTACCATGGCAATGTTTAAAATAAATAAACTATTGTGATAAATATTAATGTAAAGAAAAGACTAAATTGTTTTAATTATTATCATTATATTTTTATTTTATTCATTGTTATACAGAAAGATTTTCTAATTTTTATTAATATTATTTTTTAATAATATTTTATTGTTATTATTACAAAATATTTGTTTTGATTTGTTACTTCTTTTATTTTGAATAAGTAAATTTATTAATTTTTATAAATTATGATTTATTTACTAATTATTATAATTACAGTATTTATTTTTATTAGTATTTTTTAAAAAGTTTTTAAATTGTTTTTTGTACTTAGATAAATTGTATTAATTTTTTATTTCGTAAAAATTATTATTTGTGTTTTGGTACATAGAATTTAATTGTTTGAATTATAATAAACTATTATTATTCATTTAAAATAATTGTTATTTTTTTTGAAGAAGAAGAAGTAGTAAAATATTTTACCTACAATCACTAAGTATTGAACAATGTCCTAGACAATCATTGATTATTTTACCACACTATAAATCAAAAACTTATAGATAAATTTTTTTTTCTGTCAATATTAAATAGGTATCTACAAACCTTTAAATCATACCTACAAGAAATAACATTTTGAAATGATAGGACTACTAGCACATTCTGCCCCAATAAAGAGTTTATACAGATCGTAAAAATATAGAATAATAGTTATTTTTATTATTTTATTATATAATTAAATTAAACACATTAATATAAGGTATAATTTTAAACAAAGTTTTGAAATTATTATATATTATGTCAGATATAGCAATGATCTTATGTTTTTCTTAAAAGGGGTAAATTTTAAAGGTTAACTGTTTTTGGTTTTTTTTTTCAAAATCATCAAATAAGCTTTATATTCTTTAATGAGAGAATAGAGAAATTAAAAATACTTTTATAATTTTAAAGATTGAAAAAATATTTGTCCTTAAAATCGTATTTTGTAGATTATCTATCTTAAGTTTTAACTGTAATACAAATTACAACAAATGGATAAGTCAGGTGTTAGCATAATACCAGTATAATATAAAACCTAAATATAGTAGATATATATTATATAGATAATATAATTTATTAAAGATTTCTTCATAAAAAAAATTTATTTAAGGTCGATGATATTTAATATTTATAAATCATTGTAATCATAAAATGTACAAGTTAATTTACGTTACCTTAAATACCTACTTTAATAAACTGTTTTGCTTTTTAAAGCGTTATATCTTAAAATGTCACAAATCTTCATAACATTTTTTATTTTTATACTACCTATCATAGGTTTTTAAATAATGTTGATGATAATTTTAGTTTTTTTTAATGTTGATTATTAATTTTAGTTTTTTGAAACGCATTTTATTACAGGCATCCAAATTCTTCTCCCAATTTTTATTTATTTATTTATTTATTTATTTTATTCAAGTTCAATTTTTTTTTTATATTTATCAGATAGGTACCTACCTCGGTTAACCTGACTTTTTTTTTGTTAAAGTCTTATTTTGGTTTTAAAAATCTTATTAGATTGCTGGTACTGCTGCTGTCTCTAACTTCAACTACTATTTATAATATAATTTTAATTGAATTATGTTATTTTCTATTAAGTTAAAATGCTTAAAAATGTAATTCAAGGTTCATTATAAGTGTAAAAAAACTATTAAACAAGTCTATAATTAAAAATTAAAAATCAATAGTATATATACGCAATATTTTTTTATAAGTATGATTAAAGTTTTACATAATATAGTTAAAACTTAAATTCACGAAAATGTATACATTTTTTTTTTTTTTTTTTGTAGTAAAAAATTCATAAAAATTATTTTTCTATATATAAGGTTTGATTTAAAATTTAGTAAAAGATTCCTCATAAGTTTCTCCACCTGTAATAACGAAAGTCTTGTTAATCTTTTATAGCAGAAAAAAAAAATGCGAACATTTGTATTTTTATATTATAAAAACAATCAAATGGTTTAGCAATTGATTATTAAAAAATTAAATTGTCTTCTCTCTGAATTGTTTTATATCATATACCAATTATTTATTATTTAATTAATATCTAACGCATCTATTACAATGATTTAAATTAACATTTACTCGACGATAAAATACACCTATTTTATGGCAGCGCGGTTATCTCATTATCTGTACTATTATTAATATTTTTAACACACTAGGGTAATTTTAGCCAAAAATAAACCATATAGGTACTTACGTTAAATAATAATAATTACTAAAATAATATTACTAGGTTTATTGATTAACTTTAAATCATATCCGTTTTAATCATATTTTTAATATCTATTAAGTATTCTAACTTCTAAGTTCTAACTACACACCTTCTTCAGTTATTACTATTTACGACCATGATTATAATACTTATACATAAGTTTTAATTCTAATACTAATACTTTTTATACACTGTTGTATAGGGAAATAATATAGCAAATGTATTTTGGTACTATATCATATACGATTGTTAATTTATCAGTAGTAAATGATATACGTAACAATGAACATTGAATGGTTCGATCTTTAAGAACACATCATAATTGGTTAAATTGCGAAAGAATATTTTTTCATTTAATGATATAATATAATTGATAATTTATAATGAATTAAAATTTCTGGTCAATAAACAAGATAACCCCAAGTTTCATTAGACCGCATCTTGAAAATATTAAATCAGCTAAATACCTAAATAGTAAATAATAATTATACTGCATCTTTTTTATCATGACATGATAATGGTTTAACGTCTAATAATATTTCATAGTACAGGTATATAATATACCTAAATCTATTATATTATTAACTCAATATTTTTGAAATAGTTTTT